TCTCATTCATTCAACGTGATTGAAATTGAATTACAGCATCTATATAAATAGCATACAGAACCATTTAGCTGGCCACTAACTAACACTCAACTACCCCACTAACCGATAACTAACGGAATCATTTAACTGTCAAATGTATACAAAAGATGAAGTGGTTTGGTAAAAACATCAGCTAGTTGGTGTCGTGATTGGATTGGAAGTTTAACCATTCCAGCTGCAATTTTATCTCGAATGAAGCGACAGTCGATTTGGATATGCTTGTGATGAGAATCATGGAGGGTAAGCTAACAAAAATCCATTGTATGTTCCGGAGTGATACAGATCAATTAGAAGAGAAGATCCTAAACCAAATATAAAATGGAAGGAATATGAAATATGAGCGAAAACGCACAGGATGTACAAAAATGCATATAACTTTAAGCTCGATTGTCAGATTTTCACTCATGAGTACAATCCGGAAACGTCTTTCAATTCAGCACAAGTTTGTTGGATGACTTTGTCAAACTTTGAGGGTCAAATTCGGTTGTTTAGAGGTCCATTTTTGCGTTTTTAATTTTATTCAAATTTGTTTTGTAGTTTTGTAGTTTATTTGGATTGTCTTTAGAATTAGAGTTTTGTCCTATAAAATGCGCATTCATTGTACAATAAAGACGTTAATTTTTGAAAATTACTCATAATGTGAAAATTTTTCACTTCTATCTTGTTCTTAATTGAACAAAACTTATCAAATATTTTAAATATTTGTGGCGTTCAAACTATTCGAACTTATCAAGGATTTGTACTCTTTGTGGCGTTCAACAACTTCATAGCAAGATTCATAATTTTTGTGATCACAGGGTCAATATATCGTTAGCGATTGTTTTGGTTCTTTGGTTCAATAAATAATTGGGTCAAGCTTCAAACCAGGATTTTAGCTTTCTTGCGGTTGTGATTCAATCCTTTGTGGGTTTCGGAGTTAATATTTCTACATGGATTCGCATCAGCTTGGTTCATTTATGAAAGGTAGGATTAGTGGCAATTTGAATTGCCGCTTGATTGTCGCAAAATAGAATAACAAGAGAGGCTACAAAGGTCTGAAAATATTTTAACAATTGAGTGATCCATAGAATTTCACTAATGGTTGCAGCAAGGGCTCGATACTCTGCTTCAACAGATAAGCAGGATACTACTGTAAGCTGTCTTTTAGTTTTCCAAGAAATCAGTGAGTCACCTAAGAAGATGCAGAACCATGTTGTGAACTTCCTCGTGTCAATACAGGAACCCCGATCAGCTTAAGAAAATGCTTGCAATTTGATAGATGAAGGTAAGTATGTTGAAAAGAATAGGCCTTGATCAGGTTTGTTCTTCAAGTAACGAAGAAAGTGGTGTATGTAGAAGATGAAGACGAGAAAGAGAGGAAAAACTTTATTATTTTTCACCTTA